GCCCCGACTAACCTTCGAAGTGGGGACCGTTCGAGTCGGGTCTCGAGGGTGTGAGCCATCGGAGGCTCACGCGCTTGCGAAGCTAGCGCTTTCAAGTACGAGCTCTAAAGGAGCGAAGCACGCATAGAGGGTAAAATCGTCTTTTCTCTCTCTTAGTTAATTAATTATGTGATTATTATTTAATATGCATGTTTAGTTACATTAATTTGTGTGCGGGTCTTGGGAGGGTTTCATTCCACGTATTGTCGGACACTATGAAACCCAACAAGCACGAGCCCTAGCCACGCCTCGGATCGGAGGCAAGTGGCTAGGGGCCGCACGCATCAAGGCGCCAAGCCATCGCAACCCCACAAGGCCCAGCTAGGCTGGCCGTGATGTGTGGGGCTGGCTAGGATGCCTCATGGGCCTGCACGCCACAGCACACCTCAAGGCGGGCTGCCAGCAAGCAAAGTGTGCTTGCATTGGCGCTGCTAGGCCTGCTGTGATGCTACTGCTTTCTTGCGGGTGCGTGGGCTTGTGGTGGCATCCGTGGGCCTGTTGTGATGCTACTGCTTGCTTGCGTGTGTGCGTGGGCTTGTGGTGGCATCCGTGGGCCTGCGGGCATGGGCTAGCATGCCTAGCCTTGTGGCGCAAGGCTGGCCTTGCTGCCCAAGGCCGAGCAGCTGCCCGGGATGACCGAGTAGGTGGGGAGGGCAAGCTTTGCCTTGCTCTCCAAGGCCAAGGTGGCCCTCCCACCTACTCCCTCTTTGTGTGATGACACTTGGCATTTGATTATTATTTCATGGCTATTTAATTTCATTTGGAATTAAATAAAATTTTATTTTGCCTTTTACCAACTATCCCACATTGAAAGATGATGGGATTTCAAGGAGCACTATTCCCTATAAATACCAATCATTTGGCATTTGGGAGAGGCACTTGAGCTGGTGAACTTTAAGGATCTCCTAGAAGAGAAAACCTTTGTTCTAATAACTTTAAGTTATTTTTGGTCTAGCCTCGACTAAGTTTCGGGGTAGAGACCGGTGTAGTTCAGTAGTGAGGGTGTGAGCCGTTGGAGGTTCTCGCATTTGCGAAATTTGGCGCTTTCAAGTCTGAGCTTGAGGTTGAGCGAAGCACACTACAAGGGTAAGCATTCTCTCTCTTCTTTCTCTCTTCTCTTATGTTGATGTTTGTTTTGCATGTTTTTATTTATGTTGTAATTATTATGCATGCAATCCGGTTATCAGGTTTTGTTTCCGCGCGGTGTTGGAAACCGCAAAACCCAACAGCGGTACAAGAGGCTCTTGCATTTAATTTTTACAACTAATAATTAATTAAGGTGATTTAAATGGATTTAAATTTCTGGTTTTCCTGTCTAATAAGATTAGAAGCCCGGTTTTAATTACTTTAATCTCGTATTTATGCTAATTTTGGCTAAAGAGCCCTGATTTGGACTCAAAATTAGTGAATTTTGGGTGGAATCGATGTTCTAAATCGTTCTTTATCCACAAAGTAATTAAAAAACGCATCCCAGAGGCCAAAATCCACCAAGAAATGTGTTTTTCGAGGGGGGTTTTTTATTTTTGATGAAAAATTTTAAATCTCTAAACCTTGATTAATTATGGCATGAAATTGTTGGATTATGTGTTTGATTATACCATTAATCTTCTGCAATTATAACCCTTATTAAGCATGTTTATGAAGTCATAATTAGTGCTTAATTTGGTGAGCTCATTTTTCACATAAACTTGCAATTTCACATTTTTGCAAAATAATTGTTTGGAGTGTGAATGTTTATAGTGAAAATGCAATTTTGAAGCCCCTAAAATGTTAAAGATCTAATCTTTAATTTTTTTATTTGGTTGGATCTTAACTTTCTAAATTCCATAATGAACTAATTTTTGGTTTTAATCATTTTTGAGTTGATTAAAGTCTTAAATGTTCAAACTTGTGATTGAAATTTGATTACTCTTCATGTTGGAAGAATGTAATTTTTCAAGTTTGCACAAGTTGGTGTTGGAGAAATTTTTCATTGGATGATTGTGTTCATTTTTCCAACTCCTTTTTGTCAAATCTCATTATTAATTTATGTTGGTTAAATTAATTGTGAGAATAGCCCTCAATTTTTGTAGCATCAAGTTGAGCCAAAAATAATTTAAAGAATGGTTCTTGAATTAATTTTGGTTTGTGCACTAAAATTGAGTTTATTTAAGTTGGACTTGTTTTATATTTTCATTTTGCTCAATATTAGTTCTAAAAATAATTTAGAATTAATTTTTATGTCACACAAAAATCGGAATAAAATTCCGAGGCACAAGCACGCAAATCGAGGCAGGAGCCTCGAGCATATCTCTCGACCAGCTGGGCTGCTTGAGCAGCCTGCGTATGGCTAAAACCACTCGTGTTTTTTTTTTTCTTTGCCTAATATCATGTTCAAGCAAACTACAAAACCCTAACCCTTATTATTTGAGGGATACAAGCATATATATATATTTATTAACTATTCTTTAATTTATCAGTATTATCAATCATGATTGCTTATATTTTCAATAAACTATTAACCACACTATTATTCTTTTTTTTTTTTTAATATTGTAAGTCAATTAAATTATCTAAAACTATGTGTCGATCAAAGTGTGACACTTATTAAAACATGCATAGAGTATTAGTTTTTGCACAAATTTTAATTTATACAAAAACTAAAGTACACCGGCCATATATCATAAACAAACCTAAAAATATGCACAAAAATAAATAAATTGTAGAGGATATGCGGTTACAAAAGATGCAATAATTGATAATATTGAGATAAGAACAACAAAAAAGGATCTTTTACCAAAATGGCTAATTTAACAAAAGTTTTTTCTAAAATGGCTAATTATAAATTTTAACTAGGTAAATAATTGACTAGAAAGGAAAATTATTTATTTCTTATTTTCGTTTGAATCAAAAAGGTTCACATTTTTGGTTTTTTTCCTAATTTTTTTTTATTTGGTAATTATTTATATTTTAAGATGAGCAATACCTTAAATTCCCCTTATCGTCGTATAAATTTGTGGTTGTGTTGATAGAACAATACTACTTCAAATTCAAATTTTTTGTGATACGAACAAGACAAAAAGAAAAATAGTTTTTTTTTTTTTTTTGTGATCTTGAAATTAGGGTTCTTATGAGCGACATTACGTATATCTGTATAAAGCTTTTAAATTGTCCAACTAAAAAAACCCCAAAAAACAATAGATTAAAATAAACCCAAAAACACACACACAAAAAAAAAAAAAAAAAAAAAAAAAAGTGAACCAAACTGGTTCTAAGGAAAATAAAAAACAAATAATTTTCTTCCAAGTCAACATTTTAGTTAGTTCTGGAATTAAGATTTACAACTAGCCGTTTTGGTAAATACTTTTGTAAAATTAGTTATTTTGGTAAAAGATCTAACAAAAAAAGTACTATGTACAATCCATAATGTAAAATAACACTTAACCTTATTTTTGCTAAACTGAAATTATTTTTAATAAATTGAAATTATTTTGCTGAACATCAATTATTTTCATTGAATTGAAATTAATTTTACTAAACTAAAGTTCTTTGTATTGAATTGAAATTATTTTTACTGATTTTCTATTATAATTCTTCTTAAAAGTTACTGTTCTACCGAATATTTTTTTTTTAAGGGTGAAGGGAACGAGCCCTAACTCATACCTCAATGAAAGTACGAAATGTATGGCTGAGCTGAGGATGATGTGTATTTTGATAATCCAAGGCCGAAGACTCATACTTCAGATGCAGTATTCCATTTGCGCTTTCCTTCCGTATCAGATTTTGTTGCCTTTCGTACAATATGATGATGTACCCCTAAAAGAGAGTTATTTAGTGTTTTGATCACTGACTCGACCTGTTGTTGTTACACAATAGTCACATTTCTTCTATAACAAACTCAAATTTGTTGGGTACGTATTTCCCCCTGCACGGAGGAAGATCTAGTTTCATACCTGCCTCTGTTAATACCTTCTTCATTGAGTAAAGGTTTCTAGATAACTTATAGGTGATTTTTTTTTTTTTTTTCTTTTGGAAAAGGACCTAGGAAATGAGACCAATTGTCATTAGCTAGAAACTGTCATGTTTAATTGTTTATGGATGCAAACTTGCCTAGTCTTTCTAGTAGTTTTACAGCTAGCAAATAAAAGGAGACACTGGCCTGTTGCTGCATGTAATTTGTTCCACATTACTCGAACTAGAGTCATTGTTGCTGCTAGTTCTTATAAGGATTAAGTAACTAACCAACAAAAGACATGATTTTGGTAAGTACAATAATGTACAAAACATGTGTACGTTGTCGTCCCACACTTGTATTAAACGACATAAAGAACCTGTAATTTTTAACCCAAGCGGATTACTTCTCCTGTCGATTGGCTTTGTAAGTTGGCTGATCAATATATCAACATGTATACACTCCTCTTAGGAACTTAGCGTCTATGTCGTGGTGTATTTATATTTCTGCACATGTGCTCATCAACCATTTCAGTCATTGTCTACCAATAGTGTTGCTGCTTATCTTGCTGACCCTTAATTTAAAAATGGACTGACTCTATAGGAAGTTGAAGTGACCAATATTTCCAAGTTATGCCTTTTGGCCCTTTTCTTTATCTTATTTTTAACGTACCCATATTATATTTGCTACCTGACGGCGAACCACAGTACAAGATCTGCAAATGAGTAAAAGAGCTCATGTGGGAATCAAATGCTCGTCTTTCTTGTGTCTACTGCTATCCTGTTTTTCACTCGCGTACATTGATTTTTGTGTGCTGTAATCGTGTAGCTGAGGAATCAAAGGCGGGATCCATGGGAATCCTTCTCTTGGATGAGGTCTTTTCTAGGCTCTTTGTTATGTTATATAAATAGTTGTGGCAAATGCTTTAGAAACAAATATCACTTCCTAATCTACAAAAAAAAAAAAAAAAAAAAAAAAAAAAAAAAAAAAAAAAGAAAAGATATACACATATTTGTCGAAAAGTTTAAAAATGGAAAATCTAAAAACTTCTTCCCACACCCGTTCACTTAGTTTGCCATCCACTTCACATCCACTCAATGCAAGCATTGAAATTCAGTTCTGTAAGCTGAGGGCGGCAACTCAAGCAAGGCCCTCTTCTTTATCAATATGCCAAAACTTGTGCAACATAAAGGACTTGTATGAGCAGATGAATGATATGATTCATTTGCCAAACAACCAACAAGTTCTTTCTAATGAGCATCACAAGAAAGAGGTTGAAAGGGTTCTCGAGGGATCTCTTTCTTTGTTAGATGCCTCTAGCTCTGGACTTGATGCACTATCCCAAATGAAAGATTCTATTCTAGAAATTGAATCAGCTCTCCGTAGGGGTATCAATGATGAAGGAATCCATATATTTGAGGTGTCGAGAAAGAAGGTCTGCAAGGTACTCTCCAAGAGCCTTGCAAATTTAAAGAAAGCCGAGAAGAACTGTGCCTTAACACAACCTGAAGGTGCCTGCATTACTGTGAGAATGCTAAAAGAGGCTGAGGCAATCAGTCTGTCAATATTGAAGTCTCTTTTCTCATTTCTGATGGGGAATAAGGCAGCTTCTCAGACACGCGGCTGGTCCTTAGTTGCAAAACTTGTGAAGTCTAAGCATGTATCTCGCGATGCAGAAAACATTACTGAAGTAGTCTGCATAGATAATGCCCTGAGCACTCTTTCAGACAACCATTCAAGTGATGAAACTAAGGTTGTACTAAGGCAATTAGAGCTGTTAGAAAAGGTCATCCTTGACCTCGAAGATGGCTTGGAGTCTATCTCTAGATGCTTTGTTAGAACAAGAGTTTCCCTTCTCAATGTATACAACTAGGAATCTGTAATAGTTATTCAGGCTACCAATTTTGTACAAAGATCAGAAAGTTTTGTATTATTTTGAACTAAAGAATTTGAATTATACAAATTGATCTCTCTTGCAACATAGTTAATTATCCTGTGTGTTAATTCTATTTCTTGCACTTTAATACTTTGCATGTTTCTTTGTGTGCATGTCTATGTGATCAAGTAGGCTGTGCTTCCAAGGTCCAATAATTTTCTGATACTTCGTATAAATTTTTTATGTTGCCTATTTCCCCTTGACTCTGCTAAGTTCTGTTGTGTATGTTCAATGTTGTCTTCCACTAGCACTCGTTCTAGTTTAATTTTCTTATTTTGGTAATCCGATTACTCTTTGGGTAAATAACCTAAGGAAAAATAATTCTGTGTACTAAGTATTATAAGTAACAAATAATTACTTTAGATCAGTAAAATTTAGTTTTGAGCAGTAGTTCAGTTTCCTATAAAGTTAAAACATTAACTGCTTATGAGAAATACACAAAAGAACCAAAGAATCAACAATGTATATCTACCTAGAAAAAATCAGTTTTAATCAGTTAATTCACTTTAACAAGAAAAAAATATTCAGCCTAATAGAATCAATGGAGTAAACAAGCTCTGAATATGTACTATAAAAATCTAAAATTCCTTAGGCCATGTTATCATAATCAATTTTCGGCTTGTTACTCACATGGTTCATGGTTGCTCCATTTTCCTGTAACCCAAACTGGTGATTATTACAGCCATGTCCTGTCATAGACTTTAGTTTCATAACTAAGCTCAGAGCTATTGAGATTCCAAATGTTTTTCCGAGGCAGCCCATATTGTTGAGATCTATATACAAATCCAATACAGCACGTTTTAAAATTTCTGTTTGCAGTTTTAGATAAGAAAAATGAATCAACATTTGATATCGTAATATTGATTTACTCAGATATTAGCAGCCATGAAATCTGGTTCGCGTTGTTTCCACATGCAAATTCTAACTACCTATCTTTGAGCTGAGTGCTGATGTGCTGTCATGTTTAAGCAGTCAGCGGCATTGAGATCTACAGAGCTTCTATTTTGAGCTACTAGAGCATCACACTGCATGCTTTGGATGAGTAATATAACAATATTTCCTTCAAAATGTACTAATTAATGTATTTAATATATCTTAAGCCACTTGTAGTTAATCTTAATTATACTTAAAGGTTTAATAAGCACTAATAGTTATTTTATTAGTTAGACTTTGGAAAGAGGCTCCACCCACGTGTATGTTCTCTTGCTTCATTTGGTTGTTTATCCGCGTCCCCTGAGACCTGAGTGCAACTTCTCAGTTTCTCAGTTAACACTTCATAGACTCGTAGCAAGCAGTGGAAACTTGGTTGTCTCAGGATTAGCTTTTCCCTCTATCTTGGTTTGTGAACACAAGCGAAAAGGTGGCTGAGGACAGTTTTATCAAATATTCTTAAATAGAGATGTTGCATTAGGTAAAACAAATGTGTTAAGACACTTGAGACAACATTTTCTATATGATGTTACACCTTGAACACGCGTATTGTCCATGTTACATCAACAGCTTCTATGCCTCCCCTTACATTTATTTTTATTTTTTTTTTTTTTGTTATAAGTTATGACCTCCTATGCTAGTTAGACGGTTGCTTACACTCTTGCATTGCAGAAATTCATTAAAATTGATTCTGCTGCATTTATTTATTTATTTTTCTAAAAAATTTCACAGGAAAAACTCTGTTTTCTGCTTTAAAATTTCTGAATCATATACATAACTTAAATTGGCATCTTTGATTAGGTGTTTTCACTAACCAAACTATCATAGATAAACTACTCTGCTTCTCTGTTAAGCATGTTTGTAGTCTGTAAGAGTTTGAAGTGAGCCAACTGGTGATTCTCTCAATCCTCCACTTCTCATTTATCTATGACCTTCACAGTCATTGAATGATACGAATATACGATTATTTCAAATTAACCTTTTACCCTTTTCTGTTCGAAGGAGCATTCTATTATACTTGCTCCCCAAAAGCCAAGAGTATTAATTTATCACAAATTATATTCCAGATCAAGTTATATTATCCAAGAGTAGCTTACACGCCTATATCAAATACACATGAGTCTGCACACCACTTGATCTGTGTGCAATTGAATGATGGAGCTCATGTGAGAAACTAAATGCTTGTCCTTTTTGTGTCTTCCAATCTCCTGCATGCCACTCGTGTACTTTGGTTTTTTCTTATAATATCCAGATGGTGTAGATCAATGAGGAATCAAAGGCGGCATCTATGGGAACCCTCCGCGTTGTCATACTCTAGCTTCCTTTCCCCATTGTATATAAATATAGAGGTTGGCCAAGGCTTTTTGTAGTAATTAAGCAACATAACATCTCTCCTATTCCTTAGTTTTTAGTAAAGGCTTAAAGTTTTTTTTTTAATATATAAAGTTCAGAAAAATGGCAATTCCAAAAACTTCTTTGCACAACCGTTCAGCCAGTTTACCATCCACATTTCACCCAATTGATGCAAACATTGAGAATACCCTGCGCGGGCTAAAGGCCTCACAAGCAACACCCTCATCTTCGTCTTCTTTATCCCAAAGCTTGCGCAGTGTGAAGGAATTGCATGAGCAAATGAACGAGTTGATTCGTTTACCACACAACGAACAAATCCTTTCACATAAACATTATAGGGTTGAAGTTGAAGAGGTTTTAGAAGGATCTCTTGCATTGCTAGATGCATCTAGCTCTGCACTCGATGCATTGTCTCAAATGAATCAATCCATTCTAGACCTTAAATCAGCTCTCCGAAGAGGAACCGTTGATGTAGGTGTTCATTCATATGTGATCTCAAGAAAGAAAATTAACAAGGTGCTTTCTAAGTGTCTTCTGACATTGAAGAAATCAGAGAAAAGCCGTGCCTTGGCACAGTCAGAAAATGCCTGTGCCATTGTAAGAACTCTAAAAGAGACTGAAACTATATGTCTAACAACTTTAAAGTCTCTTCTTCCATACATAATGGGGAAGAAGATCTCTCAAACACGCGGCTGGTCCTTGGTTGCGAAACTTGTTAAATCCAAAACTGCATCTTCTGATGCTGATAATCTTTCAAAAGTAGAGTACATTGATCATGCCCTGTGTTCTCTTTCTGATAAGTACTCAGCTGCTGAAACAAAGGATGTGATGAACCAATTAGATACATTAGAAACAATCGTTCAGGAACTCGAGAACTCCATGCAGTCTGTCTCAAGATGCTTTATTAAAACAAGAGTTTCCCTTCTCAATTTACTCAACCAATGATTGTTTAGGCAGCAAGTTTTGTAAAGATAAGGACACTTTGTAGCATTCATTGATTCTTTAATACATAATACTCTTGTTAAGGCACATATCTCTTGCAGCATAATTATATTGTGTATACTTTTATACTCTTGCATCATTATACCTCCTTGTTAAGTTGGACAAAACTAGCCAAAATCGAATCACCCAACCTAAAGTTACTGGACTGAGGTTCGTACTAAACTCTAACTAAATCAACTAAACCAATCCTAAAATCAATATGATCATAATAATTGTTCTGTAATTATGATAACGAAAAATAACAGACCTGAATATGACTAGGTCCAAAACCGATGTTGAACCAGATGACTCATGACTTAGAGGAAGTTTACAGTATCATAGATGATCCGTAACAATATGACCTTAACCAAACCCTTCTAAAGCATCCCGTTGCCATCTCTATATTCATTAATTATCAGCCTTACCTATGTGAACTACACGGATATCTCCAAGGCCAACTATTGTATGTTGCTTATGCTGTCTTTGTCTAACTGTCATTCAAGCTCGATCTTTAATTCCATCTCGGGAATGCAACTCATCCGTCTTCTTATCTTACATGTGGTGTAGTACCTAAGGGTTTAGTTATTCACATTATTACTTCATTTACATGTAACAATAATGTAAGCCTTCCTTGATAAACTCAATCATACAGTATATCACTAAACAGTGAGCTGTTAAGAATCTTGAGATTTCATTAACAGAAAGACTACATAATTAAGATCTGTATACAATCTTATCTTTATGAAATAGAGATTAGAGATACCTCGATTTACACCATTTTTCTCTGTTTTCTATAATTAACAATACATGCCATTCCCCATGAACATCGGTGTATTTGTTGATTAGGATAAAAATATATACGCATTTACGTACAATGATATCATTGTTGAGCTGAATCAAGATTTTATGAGTTTGAGTAAAGGTGAAAATAAAACCAATGCAACTCGAGACATTATATTTGGGGAATAACATTTGCCTTGTGCACATTTTGATTCTAATATTTATAAAATTGTAACTGATGCATAACTATTGCTATTTTCTAGTATTGCTTGTAATCCTGTATACAACCTTCTTTTCCCGGCTCTCAATCTCCCTTGACATCTTCAGGGGGGGGGGGGGGGGGGGGCGGATTTAAGAACAAAGCATGCAAGAGATGGTGATATGTGAGTCCAAGCATGAAGCACATGATTAACTTCATGTTGTCTCTTGCAGTAAGCAGACGTGCAAATTGTAAAGGGTACTACAGGACTATTCTGTTATTTCGATGCAGTGTTGTGGATCTCCATGTGTACTGATATCTGTCAATGCCACAGTGCCACACGCACCCTTCAGTGATCTAATGGCCTTTCGTAGTGTCCTCGGTCCATCTCAATTATAGCTCTGGAGTACTTGTCAAATGTTAAGTACCACCAATAATTTTTCTAACTCCATTGAGTTTTGGGGACCATTCGAGTTTACGTGCACTTCATCAGAAGCCAGGCAGTTTCTTTACACAATACATACTGTCAGAGAAGCTTGTATTATCTTATGCATGATCTTCCACATAATTATTGTAATTTGTGAGTGAATACACTTAGATAACACTCCTACACTATTTTAAAATGTAAGTTGTTGAGGTGCTATCCTGTTTCCTGACTGCAAAGCACATGATCTGCTACTTAGTATGAGCTCAA